AAAAAAAATCCAGGGTAAGGAAAACACCTTCAAACCATCAGTAACATCCTTGCCACGAACAATCCTTGTTGGACGAGAGTATGCCTCGATAATTTTAGGCAGCAGATCACCTTTGGATAAGGTGTGCATCTGCAATACATTATTAAAAATAAAGAGAGTGAAAATAAGATACATGAAAACAATAATTAACACTTCTAGACAACAAAACTCGCCCAGCTTATGCCATTTATAGACTTGGAAAACTCATGTCTTGCCTGCAATTGATTCTCAACAAGAGATTAATGAATTCAACAGTCCAGACTCGCATGTAAAATATTTAAGTGTTTCTCGGCAGCAAATTGGTATCCAAATTGTAGAATCCACTATTCCTTCGAGAGGATCTAATCTCAGCAATACCTTTTGACAGGTGTTCAAAGCCTCACACCTCAAAACTCGAGTGTGTTGATATTGTGGAACCGTTAATATATAATGCTTATAGAAAGGTTTAGGAGAGCACTCATAGATATAAAAGGAAGAGTAACATTTGTGGATCACCACCTAGTATCCATGAAGCTCACAATTAAATGAACAACATAAAAGCCTTTGGAGAAACCAGTAATAACCAATCTATCTCGCAACAATATATATGACTAATTAAGAATTATTAGCCTACACGAGGCGGCATGGGTAGAAAATTAAAAAATAGAAGAAAAGTTTCATCATCTCTTACTTTATGTGCAGACTTGGCAGCAAGACAAGGCCAATTTGCACGTTCGGCGAGGACAGCGCGAACAACTTCTGGACTTATTCCTTTGTCCATCTGTCAAATATGAGTTAAACTCGCGAAACACCCAATTATGCAACAGCAGAAGGCAAAAGTGTGAGACCTACTTCAAGTGAACAGATATAGAACTCATCTAATCATAGATATAAAGGTTACACCCAAGTATATACTCAAAATATAGATAAGAGTGTACAATTAGAGAATCGGGGCAAGAGGGTGCGGTCCCACGCAGATGAAGCGCACCATAAGAGGGTGGGCCTAATTGCACCATAGTGAGGTCCCATCCCAAAACCAATTGGTGATGGGAGGGGTAGCCCACTGGGCATATAAGCTAGGCCCATTTTCCCTATAGAATCAATGTGGGACAACTCACAAGTGATACTCCAACAAAGAGTAAGTGCTCAAAATATAGATCGAACTTTATGTATAAAGTATAGAACACCAGGGATATAAACCACTTCATAAATTGAATAAGGCAAATAACACTACAGAAAGACGAAAAGTCTACAAAATTCAAAGATAGAAATTAACTTGCCATAATTCATAAGCATTCCTTTGAATCAATCTAAAAGATAATGCGCAGATACAAGAATTTGATGATCACTATGTCATTACTGTTAGTTTCAGATAACAACACTGATACAGCAAAAATCTGCTTCATAAACATGACTATTTTTGTCGCATTTTTGTATTTAAAACCTGTGCTTGGTAGAACTTTTCTCCTAAACAGGAGGTGTTTTACTTCCGTTTCTGTGGTCAATAACTATTTTTACATAACAACAACAACAACAACATACCCAGTATATTCCCAACATTTTTACTAAGTTACTAATAAATTCAAAACAGGCCCCACATTCTGTGTGAAAAAAATGAAGACATGAAAAAATAAAATCCTCTATGAAAAATTCACCCACGTACCAAAAGCTGCTCAAGTCTTCTTGTTACAAATTGATGTGCCTAAAACAAAAGAGCAAATTGTTATGTTCAATCCACTTGAAAAGAAAACAAGAGAAGTCATGCAAAGAACTCCATGCATAGCCGACCCGGTGTATTTATTTGTTTACGCACATATACACATGGCACGGTCAATAACGATCCCACATGGGAAGGGGCAAAAGTTCTATATTACACCATTATTCCATCAGATGCAGCTTGTTGAAAATTTGCATCTCTATCTATATATTTTGCTGCAGCAGCAAAATCACATATAATGTGATTCAAAATAGAGAATAAATATGAATCTGATTCCAACCAATACAACAGAACTGAAAATGAAAGGTCATATTTTCAGTAGTTGCTAGAGACTATCGTATAAAAGCAAGTCATCAGCTTCCATTTCTTTTAAAAGAAAAATAAGAAGTAAAAATAAGTTAAAAACAATTGAAATCAAATGGCAGAATATAGCATCTCTTACATCATCTATTGTTTGTGATTCTACTTTTATGGGCTGAACAGCAGCAGCAAGCTCCAAAGCATACCTCAGCTCCAAATTCCTATTGGTGTCTACTAACAATTGCACCTAAAAGAATAAAGCAAACATTAATTATATACCCTCCGTACAGATCAGATCCTTCCAATTATACTGGTAAAGGCATACCAGACCGTATGAGATTCTTCGCAGACCGAAGGGATCATTTGCAGAGCTTGGCTGACAACCAGCAGCAAACAACCCGACAAGGCTTTCCAACCTGTGGAGAAAAAATTGGTTTTGAGTAATACCAAAACGCCATCACCAACTACTCCGACATAGATTAATTTCAACTTATTTATTTCCACTCTGCACTTAATGGATTCACTTGAATATTTGGTCACATCTGGATCAAACCAAATTTCTAACAATGTTTCACGTGTGCCTCATCAGGTAGGATTTTGTTACGGTTCATCAAATAAAAGTCATTATCAACATACTGACCAAATGAATCCAGAATAACGGAAACCATCTGTTGGATGATGAACAATTTTTGCCTAATGACTTTCACCTCAACCAAAAAAATGATGAGCAGGTATCAACTATCAAGTTTTACAGCCCTAAACTCATTCAGTTGTGTAAGTGTAATTTCCAGTGCCTTACCTCTGAGCGCAACTCGACTCTGTCAATTAGTTTCGCTTCTGACGTAGGGACAGAATGCCATTTAAGAAAAAAAACAAAAGAAGTTCTCAGTTTACCTGTCAGATATTGCCAATACTGTTCCAGCACCAGTTTTTGGAAGCATGTCTCCCGAAAATCGAGGAAGTGTAATCTCAAATAATGCCTCAGAAACCTGATGTACCAGAAAATATTGCTTAGAGTCTTGGAAACCAAAGCAGTAACTAGGCATCTAATTTACATAAATAAGGGTGTCTAGCAGGGGTGGGAATGTAAACTGTAGAAGTCCAATATGTGCACAAAGTCAGCAAATCATCAGAAATGGACAGAAAATAAATCATGATAATCAATTATGCCCCCATGTAATAAGTAAAACATTTAGACCTAAATTATGAGCTTCAGTTGACTTCAGTGTCAAGCACATCTTTCCTATCTCTAAGAACTGAAGTAGATTGACTAGATGAGAGCTGATGAAGAATCTAAAGAAAAAGGTTATGCAATGAGATTATGAGATCTTAGAAACAAATAGAAAATTACAGTAAGTTTCCCCCACTTTGTTAGAAAGAGCACACTAACCAGCTCAGAGTAGCCATCTCTTAGGGCATAGTGACGGCCCATTACCCCAGCAAGGGAAGTAAATTCGGTAACAACTGCAGATGAAAGATCTGACATGGCTAATGATGCAGCCGCCTCAATGACCTTGAGGATGTCCTCAGTCATTCCCAGTTTCGATCCTACTATAGTAACCAGACTCTGGACACGTGTCATCTTGTCCAGCATTGTTCCTAGCTTTTCCTGTTTATTACAATATCAGTAGCATGGAACTGCACCGGACTTATAAGGTTAAGGAGTATCAACAATTACAAAGTGCTATTATCTTTACGGTGATCAGATGATTAAACTCCCAGATCTCTGCACAGATAAAAATTTGATGCTCCATCATAAAATATAATATAATTCAATACAATAAAATATTTGTTTGTAACTTATGTACTGTGGAAATGAGACTTCCTCATACGTCCTACCAAAACCTTCTAAGCACCAAAAAAGATACATCAAAACTGTTACAAACTTACATGGAATAAGATCCCCTTCAATTGATTTCGAAATTCAGAGAATCTCTTGCTTGTGTCCAACTCATAGAAGAACTTTGCATCTTCATATCGAGCTCTGGAACCACATTTTTATGCTTAATTTACAGCTCAAGCCATTGGAAGAACAAATCCAACAGTACATATATTAGGTGTATATCAACCTGAGTACAGCTTCATTTCCTTTCCTCACAACCTTTTCATTAATTGCTCCATTTGCAACCTGAACAAACACAACAAACACGTGGTTACGAGAACTATAACCAGAGTCTCCAGTATTATTATAAATTTCAAAATTAAATTGATAAACAGTATGATTATGTGTCTCACAGCAATAAAATGTGGCAATAACATTCCATCCTGATCAGTTACTGCAAAATACTTCTGATGCTTTTGCATGACCTGCAAAATTTCATGACAATGAGATACCTGGCAACATGAATGACCTCAAATGCAATTTCTTGCTAAAAGTGCAATAGGGACTCGATCAGTCATATATTATCCGAGCTAGTGTAGCAATAAGTTCGTGAGTAGAAATTTTAAGATACGTAGTGCAGAAATGGATAAGCCCCATCTCGAACAAAGACGGGAGGAAAATAGCATAGAAACAAAAATGACAAACCATTATTAGCAGGTCTTTTGGAAGCTCGAGGAAGGTCTCACTGAACTTTCCAAGAACAGGATGAGGTGCTTCAACAAGATTTACAACCTAACATAGAGGAGAATCTTCTAAAGTTAGTTTTAAAGTGAAGATGAAAGCAAAAAAGCTGCAACACATCATACCTCATCAAGTAAACCACTCTGAAATACAGTAGAACCATTAATACTTTTTACGACAGAATTAGACTTCTCCAAGATTTTATTCTTCCGTTCCTATAGAAAACAATAACTCCACTTCTCAAAGATGTACTTTCTGAAAGCATAAAAAAGCACTTAATACATGTCAATGTCAATTACCTCAATATCGATGGCGATTCCAGCATTCTGCATCACATCAGTGTAAGACTCTGCATTTCTAACCTATGATGGTGAAAATTCTTATCATCAACCATAACAATTGAATTAGAGTCCATAAAGAGTTTATCCTTAAATGAAAGATGTGAATACAGACCGTTACAAGGTATTCCTGGAATTTGGCATCATGCTAAGTAATAAATGACAATGTAAGAAATCGAAATGGTTTGCAAATATCAAAAACTTGTATTCCAAGACAACCGGCAGGCAACAAATTGAGTAACTCAACGCACATAAGAGGTTCTACCAAAGGGCCGTTAAACTACGAATTTGTCAAGCATGCAAATATGACGAAAGACTGAAAATGAAATAGCATCTGCAGGATATATAATAACCTTGTATTCCAAGACAACCGGCAGGCAACAAATTGAGTAACTCAATGCACATAAAAGGTTCTATCAAAGGGCCGTTAAACTACGAATTTGTCAAGCATGCAAATACGACAAAAGACTGAAAATGAAATAGCATCTGCAGGATATATAATAACCTAAAATTTTTAAAGTGTATCCATGAACTCGTAGTTCAGGAAATCTCCTAGTGCATTACTGTAACGGTACAAGAAAGAAATGAACAACTGAGAATGTTGATAATTGTCATAGATTGAAGACAGAACTAAAGAGGAAGAAAAAGAAAAGGACAAAAACAAACAAACAAAAACTTTCAAAAGGGTAGCAAATTACATTAAAAGGGACTCCCTAGATATGGACCAATTACAATAAGCATCGCCTCCAAGCACCACAAAAACATAATTCCTGTAAGGGTGAAACTCCATGAAAAATTACTCATGGGTTGGCAGACAAACCTCAATAGTGGCTGATGAAGTGTTCCTTAGCCCGTGAGTAACATCACCACTGTTACAAAACTTAGATAAGAACTATAAATGAACACAGATTATTTACAAATATTATCACATACGAAAATACAGTTCTTTTACAAAACGAAAAAACTTATACACAAAAACAGATGCTTCAAAACAACTCAGAAACCTTATACTTGAGCATATAGTACCATGACCAAAGGAAAGTTCTCCTAATTTACTGAAAAGAAACAGATTTAGATGCACTGCCGCTTATGATGCTTCAAACAATTACAGAAACTGACATACAAGGTAAAACAAACATCACGTGTATAAGTAGATATCCCAAATTAAAATAATAGAACTGATTGCAAGAACAGTATGAGCCTTGAGCTGGTTTTTCAAAACAGTGCATGACACGAAAAGTAAAAAATTGGAAAAAGGGCCATCGCTTGCCTCATAACACCAGCAAATGTAAAGGGTACAACAACATCTCCATGCAACGCCAATATCCATCGAACAGGTCTGCTGAACATCACCTGGGATGACAAATGTCAGCAAGGTGTTTTCAGTTTAGTGACAATAGGTTGTGATATATAAATAATAGGAGCAAACATTGGCCAAATGTAAGAAATGCAAATTAATAAACAAGTTAAAAAGAATGTATGAATAGAAGGAAACAAATCTCCAATATTGCCACCAATAAGCAATCTTCCTATTTCTTTTTGTTTAAGTTATTCAGCAACATAACAAAACATCCGCATTCAAGGTATATGGTATAAATGATAGAATTAGAGCAATCATAATCACAAACCTACATTGTACACTTAAAGTTGCAAGTACGAAAATGCATATCCAAGATAAGATTCAAAGGCACAAAGCAAATCAGAATGTAGAGTTGATATAGTTTAGACTGTATTTGATACTAACACACCATCACAATCCGACCACACACACACACCCACAAAGATCGCCTTGGCCCATCAATTACCAAACAGATATCTCTTTCACTTGCTCCTACCATGAACGCCCGACACCAATAACAAAAGTAAAAGAATTTTCAGGAGTCAGGCTAGGAAAAAGCCTATCTCTTGATAAATAAATATAGTCCACCAGGAAACTTATGACAGCGACAGCACAGAAAGTTTCATAACGATACCAAATGACATTACAAAAATTAAGTCCATAGTAGAGCAGCGCAGACCTCAGAGTTCCACCGCATCGACTTCGAGAAAGATATTTTACCAAGTACTGCAGGTAACTCATCGGATAAAACCTGTTCAAAATCACAAAAGAATCAAATGAAGAGATAAAACATCCGGCAAAGTAAAAGGTCAGTAAGCAAACATATAAAAAATTGGGCCTGAGCACCACGGCGTTGATAAGCTTTACGTATGCGCTTTTAAGGATATCCTCAGAATATTCAGCCACTTCTAAAAATATGAAATGATGGATTTTTTTTTTTCATCTCCCTTCATTGTTTTGCATATCTAATAGAATGGAGGCATAAAAAATCATACGGCAGGATACCTCTAAAGCAAGCCGTGATGGCTCCACCGCACTAACATACACGTATTCTGTTTTACCTGCAGTGATTATTATTTAGAAAAAGATCAAGAAACAAAAAGAACTACAGAGCCGACAAAAAATGATAGAGAATGTAACACAAAGATTGCACCAGAGAGCATTAACAGATGAAGACTGTTAGAAGTAATATCTATCCCAAATCGATTAGTTAGGGTTTTTATTATGTAAGTGTGGGTTGGCACCCTCTCCTTTTGAGCTAGCTTTTGGAGATGAGTTCTACACAGGCCCATTTATCAAAGATGAATCATGATTTATAACTTCAACCAAAAAATAGTGAATGATAGATAAATTACATAAGTGGCGCGTACTAATATACCTTCAATTTTTCTGTACAATGAGCTCAAAGGCACACCATTTCTGCAGCAAAAGCCTTCAGATGCCTGATAAATGAATAAGTTACAGAATCATACATGATAAAATAGCAGGGAAGAAGAGCCCAATACAATATAGAAGTCATATCCATCAGTTACAAAGAAAAACTCAACAATATTTTGGAAATCAATCCTTCATTTATAGTTTGATCTCTGAATGAAAAAGTGATACAGCATACGTAAGAAAAGAGATACAACTTCAAAAGACTTACAGAGAAGCTACGGATTAGGTGAAACGAAAAATTTGCTTTTAAAGTCAACTAGACAATCGTGCACAACGCATGCCACATATCAAGAACATAGGAAACCAATGAATATTGAGTCGCGGACCCAAATATAAAGACTGCAAAACCCAATTGATATAAAATAGTCGAATTTTATTTGAGTGAAGGTCCCAATATACTTGGGAAAAATGGTCAACATGGTACTTAATCTGTTCTAAAATAAGTGAGTTTATCCATTATGGTAAGACAACACCGAAACACCATTCAATGTAAAAGAAGTTTATGATTCAAGACAAAGTTGTGATCATTCATAAGAAGAGTTAATAAAACAAAAATAATGAGCTTTATCTACGCAAAAGCCATGAGCTAAGCACCAAGGTAACTTGTCAGAGTTCCCTGTCTAATTCAAGGTACAGTTCAGGCACAGCTTAGCGATAACAAAAACAATAAATTAAAGGAGATGACCTTAGTAGGATTTCCCTGCTGATCAAATGCCTTTGATGCTGGAGGTCCCCGAACCTCAACTTGATTTGCCACCTGCTTGTAACATAGGTTGCCGACACTAACCTGCATGTAATAAAACTTATGAGAGTGGAAAACCAAAAACAAAAATTTTTAATGTTTGTAGCACAAGTTCGTCTGTGTGATCCAAATAAAGCCACAGCAAAATACAAGGAAAAACTCTTAGTTCGTATTGAAAAAATCTAATGGGATGTAAAGCCTCTTAATGAAAATGCAAATGCTTGACCAAAGCAATCATCACTAGGCAATAGTTATATATATATATATATATATATATATATATATATATATATATATATATATGTATATAAACAAAAAATCATGACTTAACATCAATCAATCAATATCAACAAGTTGTTAAAACCCTACTAAGTGGGGTCGGCTATATGGATCACATGTCGCCATCGTGCTCGATCAAAGCACATATCCTCATCCAAATTTAAGTATTTTAAATCATTTTTTAGTCTCCTTCCAAGTTTTCTTAGGTCTACCCCTCCCCTTTTTAATATGCATTCTCAATTCTAATGTTTCTACCCTTCTCACCGGTGCCTCTAAATCTTTCCTACGCATGGGCCCAAACCATCTTAATCGTGATTCTCTCATTTTCTCCTCTATGGGCGATACCCCTACTTTATAAACAAATAGTAATTCTGAAAAAATAAGATAAAAATTGGACATTTATGAGAAGCAAAGTTCTTCATTGGACAATATGTGAATCAGTTTTCTCTATGAAATGTCCTCGATCCTCCAGAATTTATGTTTCCAATTATTACTTAAAACGCATTAGGTATATTGTACTCATAACAGGTGCTGAAGCAATTAAAAAAGTTGAAGCCAGCATTGGGAGCAACTACAGCAATAAATTCAACCATACCACAAGCCTACGTGGTGTTCCATATACTTGCACATTTCCATGACTCAGTCTTAGTTTCTCCAGCAACTGCTCGACTAAATCTTTGAGCTGCAACAAACAGCATAGCCTACACGTTAGAGCTGGCTGCTTTAAATTTTGCAAGAAAACATCCTCTTTAATCACATATGAACCAAATGGCGTCAATACTCAAATGGACCAGATATTAGAAGCTTCCTGGCTTAGTTACAACATATCAATAAGCGGGAAAATATATAAATTACTGAGCCTTGAGAATGTTAAACCAAGAAAGATTACGAAGGAGAAACTACGGTACTTGACTGCAAGCGTTAACCAGATCATTTGCGGGTAACTCCTCCACGCCAATTTCCAGAATAAAAGCCCGAGGTTCTGCAGAAACCTATAACCAAAAGGTATTACTAATATATAGCCAACTGAAGAGATAAAAACAAGAAAACAAAAAATTAAATCTGCACTATCGTAATTAAACTAATACACGGATCAAGAACGATAAAAATAAAGAATCAAATGGTATGTTACACCTCAAAATTTCAGTTGATATAACAAAATATTCCACACACTGTCACTGATACAACCTCCAAACAACGTAAATCTGATGCTTTACTAAAAGCTATTAAGGGACTCCATAAAATGAAAGTCCCTGGTAAAATAAGCATTGTAACAACTTAAGTGAGCACTGCGTTTTTTAGGTTAGAGTAACGGTAGTTAACATGAAAAAAGGAGCAGCTGATCATTTGCAATATCAGAGAAAATTGGAGCTGTAATGGTGGTCTAGCCGTCCAGCAGAATAAGACTGTATATCTTCACGAAGCTCTTAGTGCGTTGCCCATAAGGTTTCAGGTCTAAGTCACCATGATTGGCAGTTCAAAACACCACTTATAAATACATAGTTTCAGGTAAAGCCAGTTTTAAGAGAATTGTGGAGATCTGCGGTGGGAATGTGACGACAGTGTTCGTAATTTGGCATCTACTGGTAACAAATCACTGCCTTCCTAACATATATGAAGAATTCATCAACCTCTACCAGCGAACAAATTCTAAAAGTAACTTTTCACAGTAAAATCTTCTGACAACTAGTCAGACATTAATGGCTGATTTTCATCTATCTCGAATGTTTTGATTTCAAACATCTTCATTTGTTGTGTTTCAGATATTTGCATTTCATGAATTTTCAGATATACTGACATTTAAGAACGAAATACGAATCAACAAATGGGATCCAGATTGCCAGTGACGACTGCCATGGTATAATTATTTATAAGTGATACAGACAAGAGAATTCTACAGCACCTTTTTCTTCAGGTCTTCTATGTCTTCTTTCTGAAAGTTAAGGTGATTGGAATGAGAAGCAACACCCAAGGGGTGCCCAAGAGATTCTCTTGTCTTCAACCATAGCTGTGCACATTGACGGGCTAAACTGGATGGAGGAGAACATTAATCTTAGATGATTTCAATTTGCCAACTGTCATTATGAAAACAGAGCTATCCCATAATACAATTCAAACATGATGACAAACCTACGCACACGACCAAAATAATAGGTGGAGTGGCACTAACTAAATCAGAGAAGAAAGCAATGAGTATCTCTTCACACCTTTATGACTAAGAACAGAGTGAATTACTCTTAAACTCAAAATACATAAACCATTACAATTGTTTACTGTCTCGGATGAGATTGTATCACATAAAACAATATCAAACAGGATGACAAACCTACGCATACGGCCGAAATAGCGGGCACGTTCGGTTACCCCTACAAATCCTCTGGAATCCAAGACGTTGAAGGCATGAGATGTCTTCAAAAGCTGATCATACCTAACATGAAAGGAAACAGAGAGGTGCATGTCACTACAAGGTGAAAAGAAAACAGATATTTCCATATTATTATGTCAAAGAGGTGGACTGAAGCAAAGGAGATACGCAGGAATTGCAAGGCCCGAGTCAAGCAGACGACGAGCTTCAGCCTCAAACAGATCAAAATGATTATGAATGTGATCAACGCTGGCATGCTCCAAATAATATGCACTCATTTCCTTCCTGAAACAGATTGTGCACATTATGGTTCTTCTCTAGAAAAAATAAGCATGAACCTCAACAAAAGAACATGTTACTAGATTACTTTGGTCATAACATCAAACTACAGCGTGGCAGTTTTCTATCCACATCCAGGACTGAAGAAATAGTGGAGTGACATCATAAATGAATGAAATCAATTGCTAACACAAAATATTGTTCTTGTAATATATTCTTAATTAGCATACTTATTATGAATATGATGTTAATTATTATAATTAAAATTACCTTATTGTGGAAACTTAATCTGTATAAGATGTATATCTGGAAAGTTTATTCAAATTTATTTTTAGAATTTAAAAAGATACAAAATTAAATAATAAATACAAATTAAATATAGTTTGATTGATAACTTAAATATGTAATTGAACATAAAAATTAAATCTAAACATGCAAATAAATTTTATTGTTATCGCAATAGTAAGTCTAATATATATGATCAAATTAAACTTATGGAAGAAAAATGATATTAATTTTTGTACAGGTTTGGAATTATAATCTTTTAATTATTCTGAGATATAACGTGTGTTTCATAGATTTTAGATTTTTATAACCATTACAAACCAATTATTTAAATATATATAAATATATATATATATATATATATATATATATATATGTATATGTAGGTATATAGAGTATGATAAATCCCATGTACGTTGGACTAATAACAAACAACAACCAGCAGTTATCCACAAAAGTCACTATAATCACTTATTAACTCGTTTTCCAGAAAGAGTTCTCCATATGTTATCCCATCAGCATATTGAATTTTCTTGAAATGATCAACTCCCTGCAGAGCAATTCAAACAACTTTGAGACAATCACGTCAGAGAGAACACAATAAAAGACAGAATCACTGATGAGTGATAGAGACGAGGAACCTGAAGCAACATAAGAATCCGTTCAAGACCGTATGTAATCTCAACTGAAATAGGCATCAACTGAAGACTTCCAGCCTGGAATTGAGAGACAACTTCATGACATCAGAAAATCATAATATGATCCTCCCCTTAGACCATTAAGAAATTTGCAAAAGAAAACATAGATATATATTCTTGTTAAGAAAAATGTCATAATCCTGAAACTTTGGAAGTACTCGTATCCTGAGAAAATAAAAGGACCTGCTGGAAGTAGGTGAATTGAGTAATCTCCATCCCATCCATCCAAATTTCCCAGCCCAAGCCCCAGGCACCTAAGACCTACCAGAATGAAAATACAACATAAACAATAACATAAGCATTCAATGCAAATTGGACCAGTGAGTAAAAGTAGCAGAAGTCTAACCAATTAAATAAATAGCAATAGCACTGTAGCACCAGGGGATATCTAAGTATTCCCCTGAAAAATATGTTATGTACCAGATATGTGTCTCTATATTATGTAAATCATTAAATATAAAGCATTACCGGGCTTTCCCAATTGTCCTCGACAAAACGAATATCGTGGTCATTTACATTAATTCCTGTTTAACAATTAAATAGAAAAATTAGGTTAGGAGCAAACGCATACGTGAAATAGTTTCAATCTTGCCATGACAGAGATTATCATTGTATCTAAGAGCAATGAGAAGAAAATAGCATGACGTAGAACCTAAGGCTGATAAACTCCGAATGAATAAGTCCTGTGAATTTCCAGGGTCAGGCTTCAATATCACCTGAGATAAATTTGAAAGGTAGAATATCAAAAACTAATATAAACCATAAAAGCTTTCGGAGGCATACGGTAATCATAGTTCTAGTCTTCTAGACTTAATGCGCTCCAAAATGCACCTGAAATTGTGTGTGCCTTTGAAGTCTATTTGGATTTTCCCCATAACGACTATCATCAGGTCGAATACTAGGTTCAACATAGCTACCAGTAGACACCAAAACATCAGTTACCTCATTGAGAAATTAAAAAGAACTGAAAAACAAAAACGAGCGATGGTATGTGATAAAGA